TTTTATTTGTATATGATACAAAATTTTGAACATACTTCAGTGGAGTTCTCACTCAAGAAAGGTTGATGTTCTTATTGTGAAGCCACTATACACAGCTATTGAATAATCTAATGTAAAGCTTATATAACAGCCTATAATAGGCACTCAGAACTGGGAGGAGCTGGTTTAAGGGTTGAAGAAAAGATTAGGAAAGGGAAAGTATGTGGGCTGAGCCTTAAAGGATAAGTACTTCATAAGGTGGATCAAGGTGGGGAATGGCAGTGTGGAGTATGAAAGAATATTTTTGGGTTTGAGTAGTCAGTAGTTCTTCGTGGTCATAGCTGGAGTGTTTGAGGAAAGTGGTAGTAGAAGATTAGGCTGGCAATTTCAAGGGCTGGAGGTATGGCTCAGTGGTAGAGTGCTTGCCCTGGGTTTGATTGCCAGCACTGTAAAAAAAGGAGAGAGAGAGAGAGAGAGAGAAAACAATTTCAGTTAGATTTCTAGCAAGGTTTTATTTATTGATTTTTTTTTAGATTACATAAAAATCATAAATTTTATGCAGAAAAACAAATGCCTAAAATATCCAACAAAGTTTTTAAAAAAGAATAGTTATTAAAACATTCTGTAAAGACACTGAAATTAAATCTTGTCATTGACATAGTTGAACAGAATAGATTCCAATATAAATTACATGTTTTCTAAAGAACACTGTATTCCATTACTGGAAATTTGAGCTCCACTGTTCAAAATATTCTTAGAATTTTGTGAGTCTAATTTGAGGACATTAGTGGGAAATCTCAGGGAGATGTTTCTAGCACATAGTAAGTTCAGTATTCTCCCCTTATCCATGAAGGTATGTTCCTAGACACCCACCCCCCTTCCCCAATGTTTGCCTGAGTACTCAGTGGTACCAAACCCTACAGGCTAGCCTGGGCTTCATATTTTCTAGCTCAACATGTTGCTGTCAGTCTGAACACATTTCCTGTTCATGTCTTCCACTCACAAATTTAATCCCTTTTCCGCCTTGTTTTTTTCTTCGAGATAGTGTCTCATTGTGTAGACCAGGCTGGCTTCAAACTTCTGATTGTCCTGCCTCAGCCTCCTCTGCTGACTGGTAGAATGATAGGCCTGTGTCACAGTGCCCCACTTGCCTTTTCCATCTTAGCTAAGCACTTCTTTCTCTTTTTTTAAAAAATTTTTTATTCTGGCGGCACTGGGGTTTGAACTCAAGGCTTCACACTTGCTAGGCCACTCCACCAGCCCTTAACTAAGCACTTGTCACTCACTTTGGCCATATCTTTTGCAGTTTGAGGTATGACAGTAAAACTAGCATGAAAATAGGAGATTTGTTCTTCCTGTGGAGCTTAGTAAGCTCAGTATATGTTATTTATTTACTTAAAAACTTTCATCAAAAGCATTTTATGACTTCTCTTCGGTGTATCTAAACTGCTACTCTTGCACTTTGGAACCATTATTAAGTAAAATAAAGGATAAATAATTTGAGCATAAGCACTGCAGTGCCATGACAGTCAGTCTGATAGTTAAGATGGCTTCTCATTGACCAGTGGATGCATAGTGTACACAGCATGGATACGCCAAAAAAATGATTCATGGTGCAGGCAGAATAGTTTGGGTGGTAGTGTTTCAATATTTTATCAGGATGATGCATAATTTAAAACTTAGGAGTTGTTTATTTCTGGAATTTTCCATTTAATATTTTCAGACCACAGTTCACAATAAGGAATTAAAACTATGGAAAGTGAAACTGCAGATTAAGGGGGGGTTGGGTTGCCTTACACAGAAACTATTGGCTAATAAATCTAGGTCTTAGAGTAAATTCTTTGTCATTCTTGGTCTCCCTTTCCTCCTTAGGGCACTCCATGCTCCCATTTGTTATCTGTCTTGGAAGAAAGAGGGTTCCTTATGCCATGAGGCTCCCAAATCTGATATGTTTATTTCCTGCACAGTGCCATCTTCCCCAGCATTTCTCCAGCACTTGTGGGGAGGGTCTCAGCTGATTCTCAGGGCCTGCCTTTTTAACCTAATCTCACCATGATAAAACATTCCCAGAAAAGTTTAGATATGTTTTTTCCTCCTCATTTTTTAGAATTCACATGTTCACAGCCTTTTTTTTTTTTTTTTAGATCATGCTGCCTAGGATAATCTGTACTTATTTTTATTAATTTGCAGTGGTATAATTTGACATGAATTTCTGTTTTGTCTTTTCAGGTGCCATTTGGATAGTACTTTAGTGGCACAATGTACTCGGAGTGGAGGTCACTGCATTTGGTGATTCAGAATGATCAGGGTCATACCAGTGTGCTGCACAGCTATCCAGAGAGTGTTGGGCGAGAGGTGGCGAATGCAGTTCTCATTTGGGTTAAGGGTTGGAGTTATAATGAATGGGTTGTATGTTTTTTTGCTGCTTGGACTTCTTAATAGCCATGTCCCAGTTCTCCACTTGAGCTACGTGTCCAAGACAGAGCTTGAGTGTCAGACCCTAACCCCTAAGCTCTAGGCTCAATCTTCCATTTAGAGGTTTCTTCAGAGGGCCTCATTCCTATGTCTGTGTAGCTCCTGACTAAGAGTTCATTTTATGTCAGGTTTTCAGGCTATGCATATCTGCTGAGCTCAAGCTCTCCTAGGTCCTCATCTCTTTCCACGTCTGCCTGTCTTCCAGGTTTAAGAGTACTACAGAATAAATAAGCTGTTCTGGTTGCCACCACAGGTAGTCAGAATTATGGTTGTGTTTGCTGTTCTAAAAATCAGAGGCTCTTGGAGTAGCTTGCCTTGGAGCTGGTCTTCTGTTCTTGGGTTTAGGGGACTGAGCTGAAGTTAACTTTAGTGTGAAGTCATGAAGAGACCCTGAGAATGGAGTGATTCTATGGGAGCTTACTAGTATGAGATTTGGCTAAGATGCAAGATTAGAATTTTGACCCCTCTCCTTTAAGGAAGAAGCTCATGCAGCTTTTAGGCTCCAGGTGTACCAAAATTTATACCTATTTCTCAGATCTTTGATCTTTGATGAAGGAGAGATTAGACTTAGATACAAGACTAAAGCTTGCAGCTCTAGAGGCAATTTGTTATCCTCTCTTGGTCATGGGTCATCAAAGATAAAGAAGTCCCTTAGTCTGAGAAGCAGTTTTCTCTCATTAGAGGACCCTAATTTATACCACAGGACCAGCAAGAACCCTGACACTCCCCTCTGGGTGTGGTTGTGATCCTTTCTACCTTCTTCAGGGATAAGATGGCATGTGAACAGATAGAGGAACTCTAGTGTAGCCCATGTTTGTTCTCCTTTCCATCCTGAAAAGGGGTTGAAAGAGCAGTCCTAGAATTCAGTGTCCTCTACTTCACCTACCATGTGAAGATATCCCCAAAGATATCTTCTCCTTTTTCTTTTATCTGATAATTAGGAACCTGCAACCTTTTTAAAAATCCCTTTTCTTCTGCAGCAAAAACTTGACAGCTCCCGCTCGTAATTTTTCACAGCTTCACTATTTGTTACAGATTTTAATTATTTTTTCAGCATATAAATTGTTCCTAAATTAAACTTCTGGCAGGGGGGTTTGGGGGTATAGATCCAGTGGTAGAGTACCTTAGTTAGCATGCACAAGGTCCTGTGCATGCCACAAAAATCCCTAGCACTGAAAAAAAAGAAAGATCTTGGCAGGGTCTTTGGCATGTTATGAGGCACCTCTTTTTGAAACGATCTCGGTGCTGTGCTCCACTGTTACTCTTATGTGGTGATTTGACTAGTGATCAATCCAGCCAGTCTACCAAGCTGTGGACTGTATGTTTTCACTTATGTCTCCATCCAGAGGATATCCAGCATCTGACCAAATTTCTTGCTAAAGCTAAGGTAGTCTTCTGCCAGAGAATACTGTTAATGACGTGGTTGAGAATAGCTTCAAACTCCTAGTTGGAAGATCAGGGTTCAAGTTTTTAGCTCCACTATTTACAAACCAGTGATAGGCCAAATTGCTTAGGTTTTAAACTTCTGCTTTGTTTTGAGTAAAGTGAGGATAGTTGACCCTCTCACACAGGGTTATTGTGTTGGTTAGGTGATATTTATGAAGGTGTTTTGTGAACTGCAAACACTATATGTTTGCCAGCCTTTGGCATAGTACCCCATTAGTAAAGGAATTAAACTTGTCTGGCATGACTTGATCTTTTTGAGCAGGCTAGTTCTCTGCAGCCACATTTCCCTTTTATAAGTGTCCACTGATCATCTGTTTAGTAATTTGTCCTAAAGTTTTGTGTGGAATCACTTAAACTTTCTAGGCTCCAGTGTCTTGATTATAATTTCATCTACCCCCCCACCCCCCAAATTGGGGTATTTCTCCTTTCTTATAGCACCTTATCCATTCTTTATGACTATAGGCAGAGATTTAACAATCTCCTGGGCAATTTCTGAGATACCTTAGTATGGGATTCAGGCGAGTCAAGAGACAAGAACTGGTTCGGTGCAGCCAAATGCCTTGTTAAATTCTTTCCTAATCTCTATCTCTTCTCATCCGTGTGTTCGTCTTATGCATTTCAAGTATTGTTTTTTTTTTTGGCAGAGAAAACAGTTGTAAAACAGAACAATTCATCTTCCTTCCTGTCATTTGTTCCTGTTGCATAAACTGGAGATGGAATGTGATTGAATTTATGTACTTGATTTCCTAAGTGACATGTATTCCCATAAACAAATTAAGTAGATTAAAAAAAATCTAAAATATTTGGTTTTTGTACCTGTAATATCTATGGAAATTTGAAATAATTTTATTTCAGAGTGTGAACAGTGATGATATCTAAAGGATAAAAGCAAGCATAGGCTTCATATTTAAAAATGTTACTTTCTTCTGAAACCTGCTTTTGGGGGAACATGTTATATGAATATGATAAATGAAAAGTACATTCTCTAGAATAAATGTATATGTTGAGATGAATATACTGTCAATTTAGAGGTTTTTGGCAATAGAAAAATGTTACATATATTACATTTTAAATTACTCTAGTGATATATAGATAGGGATATATAATAATTCCATATGGATTTTTTTTTTTGTTTAGGTCAAATGGACCATGGAAGTAATTTGCTATGGATTGACCCTTCCATTGGATGGAGAGACTGTAAAATATTGTGTTGATGTGTATACAGAATGGATTATGGCTTTAGTGTTGCCGAAAGATTCTATTCCATTGCCAGTTATTAAAGAGCCTAATCTATATATTCAAAGTATACTAAAACATCTGCAAAATCTCTTTGTACCAAGGTAAGTTATAACTGTCTATTTGGCCTATTATCAGGAAAATAAAATACTCATACGTGCTACTTTCTTATATATAGGATTTTATTGCTAAGTCTTTTGGAGAGTGACTTTACTCATTTAATTAAACAGTATAGTAATATGAATAAGAGAGGTGAGCTTATATAATGTTTACATGTCCATTTTAAAGGTTTTTGTCTGTACTAAGATCTGATAGCTTTTAGATGTTAAAATATGGTGGCATCTTTTCCTTCTGCTTAGAGAAACATACTTTTTGACTACCATAATCTTTGTCTTGACTTAAGCTAAAGGCAACTAATCCTTCTACCTTAAAATGAATCTTTCCTATAAGAAAGTGAAGGCATAGATATAAGCAAGCTTGAAATTATTATGGGTAAATTTATGGTAGGCCAAAGTACTCTTGAAAGTTTGATGCTGTTTTTTTCTATGTTCTGAGATAAATGCCTTAAATATAATGTAGGCTATCTGCTTAATATTTCTTTTTCTAATCTTCCTCTGATACATGAGGTTGTGGGGTTGCATCCCCAGCACAAAAACAAGCAAAAAACTTATAATTGATTTTGAGAAATACAGAAAGCATTAGTTCCCTGCCTATTCATAACGATCTGGTTTTAGATGTTTTATGTTTATGAGAATGGCAGGGGGCTTGTCTCCTTTTGAAAAAGTTCTGGTTAGAGCTTTTGGTGAAAGACTTTGACTCACTCAAAAACCATCTCTCTAAATCTTAATTTTCTGAATTTAGAAGGAAGCTTGTTTGGAAAATCTGAATTGTAAAAGAGAACTCTTCATTTAGAACTCTGGTCTGTAGAATAAGGTGTAAATTCCCTATCTCGCACCAAGTATCAACTGTAATGTGGCCTCTAACTAGGCTAGTTGCTGCTAATGCTGTGTGAACCCCGCTCTTTAGTTGGATATCAGACTCATCATCCCCATAAGACTTCTTAAAGATCTTTCACATCATCATCTGCTTTTTTCTTTTCTTCCTTTTCCTCTCCATTGCCCATTATGTATACCTCACTCTTATTGGTGTATCTTAAATTCTGTCTTACAAGACAGAATTTGTCTTACTGATCAGTTAGGCCCACAGTGGTCATACCCTCTCTGAACCTGTATTACTTTCTGTATCACTCTTGTACTTTCTCTGTTGTTGCTTATCATTTAAAATATATGTTTCCTTTTACCATCTAACTAACTTGAGAGCAGGAACTGGGCTGTTTATATTTTACGACTTCCACATTCTTGGTGCAGTACTGGTATTATTTTAGGTATAAGTTAAATGCTTGTTACTTGTACTTACTGACTTCAAATGGAAATAATAACAGGAAATGTTTGGAAGTAATTGGCAAATTGTTTGCAGGTAAACAGGTTCTTCTAAAATGGTACAGCTTTAATCTTTTTTGTCATCCCATTTAGGAGACTAATTTATGGGACTTTTCGTTGTGCATGGGATGGTCTCATGAGTAGTGTTGTCACTGTATATTTTTCTTCTTTGTACCTCTGTCATCCCCCATTGCTTAGTGAGTTTGTATTGCTGAAAAACTGTAATGGCATTTGAGTTATTTAGGCTTTTGTTTTTACTTTCCTCTTGAGAAGCAACTACCTTATGAATTGTTTTATTGTTATTAATTAGCTTGTTTTCTTTTTTTCTTACTTATTTTTTGGTGGTACTATGCTTTGAACTCTGGGCTTTGCACTTGCTGGGCAGGTTCTCTAACACTTGAGCCACACCTCCAGCCCAGTCAGCTTGTTTTCTTAAAAAAGTGTGTGTGCAGGAGGGTTAGTGAATTCTGAAGCGCACTAAACTGAGTGTTGGGGTTCTCCAGATTAATGATGTTATATGGATTAACTAAATATTTTCATTGCTAAATATTGCGAGTCATCATCTAATCTGACCATTATTAGAAGTTTCAGTTTTTTTGATTCAGTAGTTTACAAAATTTTACAAATTTTCTTAATTAGTTGTTTTTATATAAACTGACTCACAATAGAGAAAATGGCCTTCTATCTTGTTAGAGAGGATGCAGTCTTTCTCTTTTGCTCATCAGGTTGACAGTTTTTTTCTTTTTTCTTTTTTTGTATAGCTGAGGAAGAATGAACCATCTTTAAAAATTGGTTAGTTTTAATTGCTGAAATATACTGTACTTTAAGAAATGCTATGTTGGGCTGGAGGTGTGGCTCAAGTGGCAGAGTAACTTCCTAGCAAGCATGAGGCCCTGAGTTCAAACCCTGGTACCACTACCACAAAAAAAAAAGAAAAGAAAAAAAGAAGAAGAAGAAGAATCATAATGTTCTTTTAAAGTATTGGATAGCATTTTATAAAGAGCCAGATAGTAAATGTTTTCAGCATTCAGGCCATGTGGTATTGCAGCCACTCAACTCTCCTGATGTAGCAGCAAAGCAGCCACAAACTACATAAGTGCAGGGGCATGGCTATCTTCCAGTAGAACTTTACCTACAAAAGAGGCCAGAGTTGACCTACTGGCCATAGTTCACTGGCTTCTCTTCTTAAAAATGTTTTTCTGAAGAGTATACATTGTGTTTAAGAATTGAGGAGGGAAAGAAAAATCTCTGGTGTTGAGACCTTCTTTTCATTTTTATTAAAGGTTACTCTGTTTCTCCTAGCTTTAGAAACTTGGATTCTGTTCCAGACTGTAGGCCTTTTGAGTAAAGGAAAAGTAGCAGGGGAACATTTGTTTCCTTTGCCTGGTAGGTGCCTGAAAATAGTGGATAAACTTTGCTTACTATTGGGGACATGTGATGTTATTTCTAGCTTGATAGAGTGTCGGCTCCAAGACGACTAGTAGTGTTTTTGTTGCATATCTGGGCTTCCTTTTCTATGGCTAGGGAAGATTTGTTGCCATTTTTATTCTTCAAGTAAGCCAGAGTAACAAACGTGCTTGAGCCTCCTGGCGTTGGTAGACTGGATTATGTCCACATGAATGTGGAACATCTCTGCTCTTGGGAATGCTTGGCTTTTCCTAAACAATTGTCTCATTTTGCTTGAGATTTGTTGTTTTTGGTGTGTATGTGAAGTCGTTGGTAAGGATTGAACCCAGGGCCTTGGGCATGCTAGTCATACATTCTACCATGGAACTGCATCCCCAGGTGTAGGTCAGACTTCTTTAGGGAAAACATAGTGGTATCTTTTTTTTTTTTTTTTTTGGTGGAACTAGGTTCTGAATTCAGGCTTCACATTTGTGAAGCAGACGCTGTACTGCTTGAGCCTTGTATCAAGTCCTTTTTGCTGTGGTTATTTTAGAGAAGGGGTCTCGTGAACTCTAGCTGGCCTTGAAATGCAGTCCTCCCAATCCCAGCCTCCCAAGTAGCTAGGATTACAGATGTGAGCCATTGGTGCCTGGCTAGTGGTGTCCTTTGGTTGTAAGTGTAGGTCAGACTCTTTAGGGAAAACATAGTGGTATCTTTTTTTTTTTTTTTTTTGGTGGAACTAGGTTCTGAATTCAGGCTTCACATTTGTGAAGCAGACGCTGTACTGCTGAGCCTGTATCAACCTTTTTGCTGTGGTTATTTTAGAGAAGGGGTCTCGTGAACTCTAGCTGGCCTTGAAATGCAGTCCTCCCAATCCCAGCCTCCCAAGTAGCTAGGATTACAGATGTGAGCCATTGGTGCCTGGCTAGTGGTGTCCTTTGGTTGTAACTCATGGTTAAGTGGCCAGTCTTCTTGGTCTTGGCCTACAATCTGGGAATCTGTGTTCTAAAGGCTGGAGTGGAACTTCTGGTGCCACATGCTTCATTTTCTGGTATTTCTCAAGGATGCTACCAGTTCTTTGTGGCAAGTAACCTTGCTTCAAGGTTTGTTCAATGTCCTGCAGAATTTAAAAACTGTTGGGGCTGGCAGAGTGGCCCAAGTGGTAGGAGCTAGCAAGTGCAAGGCCCTTAGTTCAAACCTCAGAACCACAAAAAAAAAAAAAAAAAAAAAAAAAAAAAATTAAAAACTATTGTTTTAAGTTACCTTGGGAACCTTTGGAGCTTGCATCGTTTTTTTCAGTGCAACAATAGCAGGTGCTCATTTCCAAGACAGTGTTTTATCAATTTTGTATATTCCTTTGGGGTTTTCTTCAGCAGATATTAGCTTTTGGAAGGACTGTGAGCACTGTGAAATCACATGCAAAATTCTTGTGACTGTATGTTAAAAACTTTTAGAGGGCTGGTGGCATGACTCCAGTGGTAGAGCACTTGCCTAGCAAAAGCAAGGCCCTGAGTTGAAACCCTAGTACCTTTAAAAAAATAAAAATAAATAAAAAAGAATATGAGGACTTTTATGCTTCATTGTGAGTAGCAGGGGCTTCTATTGGTTATTCACTCAGAAACCTACTGAATGCGTGTTATGTGACAGCCACATTTCAGACAGAAAATCAAGAGGTGAAGTTTACATTCTAGTAGTCCCCGTTCCTCCCAGAAGCTAAGTTCTTACAGAAGTGGTAGTGGAGATCCCAGGGTGCTAAAGTGTGTTACAAGGAGGAAGTAGCGCCCCACCCTGTCTGCTGATTCCCTTAGGAAGTGTTATCACCCCACTGTGTTGCATCCATAAGTTGCCTTTTTTCGGCTGTTGCTATCTCTCTTCCAGGCTGGTCAGTGATGTCTGTCTGTCTTCTTCAGACAGGAACAGGGCTCCAGTCAGATCCGACTATGCCTACAGGTCCTGAGAGCCATTCAGAAACTGGCCCGAGAGTCATCTATCATGGCCCGAGAGACATGGGAAGTCTTACTATTGTTTCTTCTACAGATTAATGACATACTTCTGGCCCCGCCAACCATTCAAGGTTTGTGTATTTATTTTTTTCTTATATATTTATGAGCTCTAAATACAGTTCACATTTAAATTCAATGAGTGATACTCATTGGGGATTTAAATTTTGTCAAGACAGTTAACAAGCCAAGGTTAACAGTTCATAGAATGTAGACTCTCAAAGGCTAATGAAGTTATTTTACTTTCAGTGATAATTTTGTGAATGAAGGGAAGGAGTCAGTGAATTCTGTATGTTTGATTAGAAAAGGAACAGTAGCTTGTTTAGTGTTTAGAATAGAGCATATGTATAGGAAACAGCACACTAAATCCGAGCCTATAGATAATATATGTGATGGCAAAGTAGTTACCAAAAATACATTCTGAAAACTTAATGGCCACAGAAGGCACTTTGTTCACTCAATGAAATCTCCAGTCTTTAACCTGTCCTATTTGGAATTATGAGAGTATGCATTCATTAGTTAGCTATTAAAAAAGCTGCCAGCTTTATAAAACTTTACAGTGTATATCAGAAGCCCTGCTTTGTATGTTAAAACACAACATACACAAATTGTAAGTTGGTATTCAGGTTCCAGGTTCCTTTGTTGCTTACTCATCTGTGTACTCTTTTTACTAACACACATAAATGTGCCTGTGTTGACTCACCAATGCAGTGTCCAGGGAAATGTCTAGAAGGAATTATGGAAGTTTAGTGTTAGAAGGGACCCCAGGATAGGAATACTGTCTAGTACTGGCGATTGCTTGCCATTCACTGATTCATCGGTTCTCTGCTACTCACTCTCCATGCCAGAGAGCTCACGAGGAAGACAGTTCATCTGCTTCTTGGGTTCTTGGTTGTTAGAACTTTGGTTTGCTCATTTGAAGTTTGCATCCTGATTACTTTTCCTTCTAGTCCTAAGTTTGCTTTCTTGAGCTATGCTTCGCAAAGTCCACTGTAGTTAGTCTTTCTGGTTCCAGAGCTCAGAACAGAGGAACAGTTGTTTTCATGGTTAAGTTTCTGTCCTACCCAGCCAGTCCTTTTTTGCTCTTTGTTTGTCTCTTTTTTTCCCTTGAAGTGTAGCTTTCAGACACTTGGAATATTTATGACAAACTTTGAAGTTAGGAAGTCCTGTTCTAATTCCTTTCCACATTGGCTGCACAGACTTCCTGAACTTAACTTTCCATACCTATTGGTAATAGGTATTATAAATACCAATTCTGCAGAAATAGTGTGAGGATTATGCGAGGAATATGTATGAACTACTTGGCACAGAAAATGACTTCTAGTAATTCACTTATTGTAGCCACTCATCCTTTCTTTTCTCCCCTAGAGGCTTCTGTCCCCCTGGCTGAAAGAGTAACGTCTTAAGAACTAGCAGGGCAGCTTGAAAACTCCCAAAGTAATTTCTTCATGTTATCCATGATTTCCCTCATAGCTCTTAAAAATTGCTTCACATTAAACTTATTTGAAAGTCAGTATGTAATATTGCAATTACTTCTTTTGATCAGTTTTCCTAAATGAGTGAATTAAAGATTCTGCTTTAAAAATTAAAAAGTGTGCCAAAGATATATTTTCTTTTCGTTGGTCAGGTGGCATTGCTGAGAATCTAGCAGAGAAGTTGATTGGTGTTCTTTTTGAGGTTTGGTTACTAGCTTGTACTCGGTGCTTCCCAACACCTCCTTACTGGAAGACAGCCAAGGAGATGGTGGCTAACTGGAGGCACCACCCAGCAGTGGTGGAGCAGTGGAGCAAGGTCATATGTGCGCTCACATCCAGGTATGTCATTGTCTTTCTTCATCTGTTTGACCTTCGGCAGCTCTTCCCTGGTTCCGTACCTTTCTGGGATTCATGGAATATGTTGTAAAATGCCTGGATCTGTTAGTGGTGTACTTAGATAAAAAATTGAGCCACTTAGGGAGGGAGGGAGGGAGAGAGAGACAGAGAAGTGGTTTATAGGCATGTTTTGTAACCTTTTGGGTTAATGAAGTATTTTGAGGTCCAGATAAATTCTTCACCCCATCTTCTGCCTCAAATTCATTCTTAATTCTGATTATTAGGATATGCATTATTGTAAAGAAAAGAGCCATAGAAAGGGATAAGAGAAGGGGTTACCAGAAATTCTACTATGTCCATTTATGTGTGATTTTACAAAAATGAGTCTAGTCTAAACATACAACTTTATAACCAAAGTAGACAGTTTTTGTAATAACAATTTTATCTTTTTACCATTTACATATAATACTTTTTGTGATTCTATGAGTAAGCTGTTAGGTTTTACTTTTTTTAAACTTATTTTTTCATTTCAGCCATACATACACATATATTTGTGTATATACATATATGTTTTGGTGGTATTGAGGTTCGAACTCAGGGCCTCATGCTTACTAGGCAGATACTCTACCACTTGAGCCACATTCCCAACCCTTTTTTTTGTCTTGTGGTATTGGGGCTTGAGCTCAGGGCCTACACTTTGAGCCACTTCACCAGCCCTGTGTTTTGTGATGGGTTTTTTCGAAATAGGTTCTCACGGACTATTTGCCCAGGCTGCCTTCAAACTGCCATCCTCCTGATCTCTGTGTCCTGAGTAGCTGAGTAGGATTACAGGCATGAGTCACCGATGCCTGCCCTTTTTTTGCTTTAGTTATTTTTTAGGTGGCTCATGTTTTTGCCCATGGTTGGCCTCAACCCACGATCCTCCTGATCACTTCCTCCAGAGTAGCTGGGATTAAAAGAATGAGCCACAGTGTCTGGCCTACTTTTTAACATGTAACTGCAAAAGATAAGTATAATACTATTATCTTACCTTAAAAGTTAACAGTTTTTAATATCAGCTAGCCAGTGTTTAAATTTTCCCATACTTGTACACCTCATTTTTTTCTTTTTACATAGTTGATCTATTGAATCATACCTTTAAAAAGGTAGATGTTTCCCCCTAGTCTGTTGACCAGAACAGTGGAATATTCTGCTTTATCATGGCCAATGTCAGTATTGTGAATGCGCTTTTAAATAATAGTTTGGTCTTGATTGTTTTTTTTTTTTTTTTTTTTGGATATATAACCAGAGGTGGATTTTCTGGCAATTCTATTTTTATTTTATTTTATTTATTTATTTATTTTTTAATTTTTCTTTTATTATTCATATGTGCATACAAGGCTTGGTTCATTTCTCCCCCGCCCCCCACCCCCTCCCTTACCACCCACTCCGCCCCCTCCCTCTCCCCCCCCTCCAATACCCAGCAGAAACTATTTTGCCCTTATTTCTAATTTTGTTGTAGAGAGAGTATAAGCCATAATAGGAAGGAACAAGGGTTTTTGCTGGTTGAGATAAGCAAGTGTGAGCCAGGTGTGGTAGCCTACACCTGGGAGGCCAAGGTAGGAGGATTGTGAGAACTGAACAGAGACTCAACCAAACCAAACAAACCAAACCCCCCCCCACCACCAAAAACAATGTATACTTATAATAGAAAGTTTGGAAAATACAGGAGGAAATATCTGTCGTTTAAAGATAATATTAATATTTTAGTGTATGTTTTCCATTTAATTCTCTTTTTAACAAAATTTGAGATACTTTTTTTTTCTTTTTTTTTGGTACTGGGGCTTAAACTCAGGGCCCATACCTTGAGCTACTCTACTGGGATCTCACAAACTGTTTGCCCATACTTGCTTCAAACTGTGATCTTCCTGAGTGATGTGAGCCACCAGTACCTGGCCGTTTTTTCTCCTTTGATGCCTCATTCTTGTTACTTTTCATGTGCTTTTTTTTTTTTTTTTTTTTTTTTTTTGGTGGAACTGGGGTTTGAACTCAGTTGTAAGGCAGATGCTCTGCCACTTGAGCCATGTCACCAACTCCTTAGCAGAGCAAGGATCACAGCCAGGTTTGGTACTTCTCTCCTCTTCTCTTTTTCTGTTCTGGGGCTTGAACTCAGGGTCTACACTTTGAGGCACTCCACCAGCCCTTTTGTGATGGGTTTTGCAGGATAGGGTCTACATGAACTATTTGCCCGGGCTGGCTTTGAACCACAATCTTCCTGATCTCTGCCTCCTGAATAGCTAGAATTATGTGCATGAGCCACCGGTGCCCGGCTAAATTTTTAAATAATTCTTGAGATTGTGATTTTAATGACTTTGTAGTTTCCATTATATTGGAATTATAATTAATTTATGGATTTCTTGTACATTTGTTCCCTGTGTTTTACTTTAGAAATATTGTCGATAAAAATAAAAAAACTAAAAGTTTTTGTATATATTCTGATTATTAAGATATCATTTCTAGATATAGGAAAATTGAGTCAGAGGGCTTTGGACAGTTTTAACATAGTTAGAATATTACCATTAAGTACTTGAGGTGCTTGGAGTGTGTGGCTCAGTGGCAGAATGCTTATCTAACATGCTGTGTTCAATCACCAGCAACATGCACACACAAATAAACAAACAAGAAAACAAATAAATAAAGCAATTGAATTGTTGAATTCAGTTGCTTTTGTGATGCCATTATAAAAGTATACCACATTTTAAACCTTTAAATAAAAAATTTTGAACTTTATATAAATTGATATAAATTTATATAACTTAGTTGTGTAAAAGGACTTGCAGTAGGGTGACTTTTAAAAGTAATACAAATAATTTATAATTTAATTATGCGATTAATTTTATAATTGTGAGTGTATGATTATATATATCAAAAAATGCATAATTTATTTCCTGTACTATAGAGATAATAAACTAAATAAATAATTTGAATATTTCAACTAAAACTCAAAAATCTTTTAAAAAATTGGAAATCCCTGCAAGGCATGGTAGCTCATGCCTATAATTGAGCAGTTACTTGGAAGGCTGAGATTGGAGGATCAAGGTTCAAGGCCAGCCCAGGGAAATAGTTCTTGAGACCCCCATCTCAAAAATAACCAGAGTAAAATGGTCTGGAAGTGTGGCTCAAGTGGTAGACTGCTTTGCAAGTACAAAGCCTTGAGTTCAAATGCTAGTCCTGCCCAAAAAACAAACAGACATATAAAACCTAGAAATCCCTTCCATTTTGTCAGTTTTCTTTTTCTTTCTTTTGTGTGTGGTACTGGGGCTTGAACTCATGGCCTTCATCTTGAACCACTCTACCAGCTCTATTTTTGTGAAGGATTTTTCAAGATTGGGTCTCATGGAACCATTTGCCTGTCTGTGCTAGCTTCGAACCACGATCGTCCTGATGGATGCCTCCTGAGTAACTAGGATTATAGGCATGAGCCACCGGCACCTGGCAAGGAATATAACAGCCAAACCTTGTTTTTTTTTTTTTGGAGACGCTCTTACCACTTGAGCCACTCCACCAGCTGTCAGTTTTCTAAGTGAGGGTTTTCATACATTTTGTTCACATAAGTAAGGTACGTATGTTTCATCTATTTCTTTTGTTGTATTTTTTGTTTTGTGAAGAAATGGACTTAGTGATGTGTGCTTTTTTATTCCCAGACTGCTACGCTTTACTTATGGTCCTTCGTTTCCTCCATTTAAAGTTCCGGATGAAGATGCCAGTCTCATCCCTCCAGAAATGGATAACGAGTGCGTTGCACAGACATGGTTTCGATTTTTACATATGTTAAGGTATTGTTATTTTGTGTGTTCCCTGTACTTTTCTTGTTGGATTCCGAATGGATGTTGAGCACAGTGCATCAGATGGAGTTGAGCCAGACAGCAGGCACATCCACACCATATGCCTTCTCTCCTGCTTTCCCCATGCCAGCTGGGTTGGGCTGCCATTGCTGCTCTCGGTTACTCTCTCTAGGAACTTCTTCCCTAGGGTGGGTGTGCAGCACTGTACACTTGTCTGGTGCTGCAGCCTCTCTGATGATGAATCTCTCAAGACTTTGTCACATTCTGTGGGGTCTGGAGACTGCTTTGCTCCTCTGTCCAGCATTGACTAGTCAGTGTAGTTTTTAGGGTTTTGCTTAAATTTTCATTGAGAAATGTACCTCAAAATTTTCCAGAGGTGTATACCTCTCCTTTCTCCTATCCAATTTTGTTGGAATAATTCCATCTCTCCCTGTCTATCCCTCTTAGCCTTATCTTTGTGCTCTGGAACTTTTATTCTCTTATAAACTGTCTTGCTTTTAAACTTTCCTCATATATCTTTCTAGTTTGACTAGGAACTTTTTTTTTTTTTAAGTAAATTACAAATGAATCATTTTCTTTAGTTCTTTCTAGTTTGCAGTTTAGCTTGTGTTTTTAGCTTTCAGGTTTTTTGTTTTGTGTTGTTTCATTTTGTTTTTGTGGTATTGGGGATTGAACCCAGGGCCTTGGTATTTCTATACAATTTCTCTACTACTTGAGCTATGCCACAGCCCTTTTCTTTTTATTTTGTTTCTGTGACTGGGTGGACTGGCCTCAAACTCAAAATCCTCTTGCCTCTGCCTCAAGTAGCTGGGATTATAGGGATGTGCCATCTCTTGCCTTAAAGAAGATGTTTTTGTTTTGTTTCCTTGAGGTGCTGCGGATCTAACCCAGGGCCTTGCACTTAAGCAAGGAGCTACATCCCTTTCCCCAAGTAATTTTTGGTTTTGAATGTCTTTCCTTTGATCATTTTTTTAATCTCCGTTAAAATTAGAAAGTCTTGGGGCTGGCATAATGGCTCAAGTGGTACAATGCCTGCCTAGCAAGCATGAGGCCCTGAGTTCAAATCCCAGTACCTTAAAAAAAAATTAGAAAGTCTTTCTGTGTTCTTTGATCAGACAGATAATCAACTGTGGTTTTTCTTATCTTGTTCTCTTTGTGATAGTAAGTTCTTTTATATCATCAGAATCCATCATTTGATTGCATTTGTTCCATTAATCTCTTTCTTTTTCTTTCTCTTAGATTGTTATAATTATTTTTTTGTATCTGGCCTATTGAACATTTCTGATGAATTTTGGAATCAGTTTATCAAATTACAAAATACAGTTGGCCTTCTCTACCCATGAGTACTTTAGCTATGGATTTAACTATCCAGGCATCAAAATTATTTGGACAAAAAAAAAATGCACTTGTACTGATCATCTTTAAGACTTTTTTCTTGCATTATTCCCTAACAATACTGTGTAACACATAGCATTTACATTGTGTTAGGTATTATAAGTAATCTAGAATAATTTGTAGTGTATAAAAAGATACACATAGATTATATGCAATTACTATGCCATTTTATATGAGACTTGAGCATCCACAAATTTTAGTATCCTCAGGGGTCCTGGAAAGAGTTCCCCCATGATACCAAGGGATGACTGTACAAACAGATGACAACGTTTTGGAATTTGGACTGTGTATTAATTAGGTTAAGGAAATCATTCTGTTTTAGCAAAAAACAAACAAACAAACCTTAAAAATGTTTCACAGAGTCTGGGCTTTACCCTGCAGTATGTGACTTTGCTCACATACTTGTTCAGGGACCAGGGCTGGCAGAGGCTCTACCATCTTCAACATGTGGCTACCTAGGGCCTCAGCATTTTAAGTATGAACTTTTGTATCTGGCTAGCACATAGGAAAGAGAGAGCAAGAAAGATTGTGTGGGAGGGTTTTATGGGCTAGGCTTGAAATAATGTAAATCACTGCTACTAATTCACAATATTTCATTGGCCAGAACTCAGACACATGCCACACTTACTTGCAAGAGAACATAGGAGAAAAGGGGAAAGTAATGAAGAGCTAGCTGACTGCTAAAGATGAGAATTGTATTAAGCCTTTATATATACTTTTAAAAAGTCAATTCTTGCTATATTGTATTAAGCCTTTATATATACTTTAAAAAAATCAATGTCTTACTATATTTAGTTTGCCGTTCTAAGAGCATGCTTGCTTTTTTTTTTTTAAAGATTCCTTTATTCTATGTACTGAAGATTGAACTCTACCACTGAGATACATCTCAGCTCCTTTTTAAGAATTTTATCTTACAGAAGTGTTTTGCAGTTTTTTTCACAAAGATTCTTGTATTTCCTTTATAATTATTCTTAGCTATTTGTTGCTAATGTTATAAAAAGCTTGCCTTTTTAATGCTGTTATATCTTCTAGATGGCCATTGCTACTGTAAAGGAGTTTTTTTGTTGTTTTTTTTTTTTACTTTATTTTTGTATTTATGGGCATTTAAAAGTGTGCTGGGTGTTTCAGTGGTTCTTCTGAGATTTCTAGGTATTAGCAGATGTGTATCTGCAAATAAGTGTCCTTTTGTAGAAAATCATACTTATGCTGATTGGTGAAAAGTGCTTTGGATGCAGTAAGACCTGATTTGAATTCAAGCTCTACTGCTTTTCTGTGAATTGCCTTAGCTTTCTGAATGTTGAGAATACAGATGTATTCCCCTACATCCAACTTAGATACTCTTCTTTATGGCTCTAGTTTCCCAAGTAATTAAAATGTTTTCAAAATACAAGTATATTCAAGTATAATACTGAATTTAAAAAGAAATCATCCTGTGGGATCCATTTAAGCAATTAAATGGTTTTCTCTTTTGACCTATTGAAATGCTATATCATATTAATTAATTTCTCAATGTTCAGTTATCATCCACTCTTTTTAGGTACCAGGGATTGATTCCAGAGCCTTGTGCATGCTAGGCAAGGCTTCTGTGATGGAGCTATATCCCATCTCCTATCATTCACTTTTTTTTTTTTTGCAGTACTGGGGTTTGAACTCAGGGCCTCACAGTTCCTATTCTCACTTACGAGAGAATAGGTCTCCTTGGTTATAGAATGCTCTTTTTTTAATTTTGTTTCTTTTTGAGAGAGGGTTTTGCTGTGTAACCCAGGCATGAACTCACGATTTTCCTGCCTTGGCCTGCCAAGTGCACCACTGAACTTGGCTGGAATGCTATTGTGTAAATGTATTCTGAATTGTTTCTAGTTCTATTTTTAACTAATCTGCTTTTTGGTAACTTAAAAAAAAAAGAATAGGAAAACTTCCTATTCTCTTTTATGCTCTATTGTATTAAAGTTAAATGTCCCATAAGAGTTTTAAACAAATGACCAGTACAACTTTAGTCCTGGAATCTTTTTAGATGTAGTTCTTCTATAATATTTTCTCATTTCTTCATTCTTAATTGATCTCTCAGCCTTTTTCTTTCTTCTTGAGCTGACTTTGATATTTAGTCAGGGTTCTTTTTGGTTATAAAGAGTAGGAACCTGCTTAAGGAAATGCCGGTTTAAAAAAATCCAGGTTATTATCTGTTCATAGAAAGTTCACATTAGGCTCTAAGAAGAGCTAATTGACCAGTCCTCACATTGGGCAAGGATCAATGCAGCCTTGGAACAAGCCACTGAGTCATCTTTCTCTCATAGCTTTTTTGCTTCTCTTATGCATGCACATATTCTCTTTCTCTGACAGGCTTCCCCTTCAGTCCCTATTTCCCTCTTCCTTTAGAGGTATATCCAGCCCCATGTTAACAGCCCACTGGTATAAAGAGCTGTGATTTTATGTGACTTCATCTCTGACCCTTGCAGCTTACTGGGGCTTTTTCCCTTTGCTCAATTCTCGAAAGAGATAAATGGGGTCAAATTATTTTTGTTAATTAGGCTACACTGGTTGTAGGTCTCTCATAGACACCTGAAAGGACTCCTTTTGGATAAGTTTTACCCCTTTGCTTAAGTGAGCTATGGATGAGTGGGAAGCAGGATCAGATGGGTCTGCTATGTCATTTGGCAAATTTCCTGGGAAGAGGGCTGATTTTAATGGGGAGATAGGCACTGGAATTTTGCCAACTGTGTTAGTACTTTATCTTTTTCCAGGAAAAACAAACAAAAAAAGTGTTTCTCATTGATTTTACTAGTACTGTTTTTGAATGCTTGTCCTTGGATTTGTTTTTGTGTACCACCTGGCCTTCAGACTCCACCTAAAGATTCTATTTCAGTAAATTTAGGTAATATCTGGTTTTGTTGTTATTGTTGTTTGTTGGCAGTACTGGGGTTTGAACTCAGGACCTCATGTTTGCTAGGTAGGTGTTGTGTACCACTTGAGCCACTCTACCAGCCCTGTTTTGTGATGGGCTTTTTCAAGATAGGGTCTCCCAAACTGTTTTCCCAGGCTGGCTTCAAACTGAGACCCTCCTGGTCTCTACTGCCTGAGTAGAGGATTACAGGTGTGAGCCATGGGCATCCGGCATTTTTTTTTTTTTTAAACAGGCTCCTTAAATGTAGCCAGGGGATCAGGAACTATAAGAATGCCCCATAGCCTTTGCTACCTATTCTCATTTATAATTTTTATTTTCTTGAATCTGTTCTTTGAATATTTGGTGGTCAATAAAATCCTTTTTTGGTTTACGTATGGAGGAGGGGGTATAAGCCTTTCTCTTCCCAGTTTTCAGTATCTGTTAGGTCTGCATTTCCTCTGCTGGACTGGGGTATAATCATTCCAACCTGACTGCGTATTTTCTAATTTCTGAACAGACAAACTGCAGCCCCTAGCAGGCAGTGCTGCTAGCGATTCCTTACCTCCTCTGTTCTCTATAGTGGTCTCCAGTTCTGTTCATGTGCTGCCACTAGAAGCCCACTTGCTATATACGCACACATGCTTCCCTTTCCCACCCTCAGTTACTTAAAATTGAGATTTTTTTGATGGGTGACAAAGGTTTCAAAGAATAGAGAATGTCTAAATCACTGGTTTTTTATTTTTAGCCTAGTTTGTTTGCTTTGTTAGCTAGTGGTCTACCAGCTATAGGTTATTGATACCAGTTTGAGTAGAGAGGCTGTTTAATCAACAGCTAAGCAGACCATTTTGAATGGAAATCTCACACTTTTAAAATGGAAATACTTAAAATTATTTGTACCTAAAAAATAAATCAAATCACATTGTTTTGAAATGTGTGGCTTTACTTTACTTTATATACATGAACAATAAAACATTGAAAAACTGATCTTGATATTCATATAGTTTTAAAAAATCAGATATGTTAATAAATTTCCTCCTTAGCATTCTTTTTTTTTTTTTTTGGCAGTTCTGGGGTTTGAACTAGGAGCCTATACCTTGAGCCACTCCACCAGCCATTTTTGGGAAGGGTTATTTCGAGATAAGGTCTCGAGAATTATTTGCCCAGGCTTACTTCAAACTGCCATCCTCCTGATCTCTGCTGCCTGAGCAGCTAGGATTACAAGCATGAGCCATTGGCACCCAGTCATATGTATTCTTAAAATATTAAAACCTCATTCTGTGACTAGAATAAGCTCTTGTAAAAATTGCACATCTTCTGTAGAGAAGCATACATGTTGAATCCCTAGCCCAAGAAATACAGATCAGTCCCTATCTGAATCAACTAGGCACAGATAGCCTGTCTTAAATTGTATTGCCTGCATTTTATTGCTATAGAAATTTCTAAATGTGTAATTGATTCTTCTCTCTTTTTTGGTAGTAATCCTGTGGATTTGAGTAACCCAGCCATTATAAGCTCTACTCCCAAATTTCAGGAACAGTTCTTGAATGTGAGTGGAATGCCGCAAGAATTGAATCAGTATCCCTGCCTTAAACATCTGCCTCAAATATTTTTTCGTGCCATGCGTGGAATCAGCTGCCTGGTGGATGCATTCTTAGGTGAATTTTGTGTATGTTGCTAGATGTTTGAAGATAATGTTTAGGTAACTCTAGAGTCAAATGCTAGAAGCTGTCATGGATAGCCCGAAGGAAAAGATGAACAAATTCAATGACAAATAATAAACTGAGAAAAATCATTTGCAGTAAATATAGTAGCTGGAGGGTTTTTATTATTAACTTTATATAAATAGATCAAACAAAAATACTAAGAAAAAGAATAATAACTTAGTAGATAAATGGGCAAAGAGTGCAAATAAATGGTTAGCAAAACAGAGTGTTCATTCTTAATAGCTATCCAGTCTAAAATGCACTCGGGACCATTCTTATGTACAGCATTAGAAAGCAAATTGTACCTTTTAATTAATTAATTAATTAATTAATTTTCTGGTCCTGGGGTTTGAACTCAGGGCCTCATACTTGTTAGGTGGGTGCTCTATCACTTGAGCCACTTTGCCAGCCAAATTTATACCTTTTATGAACTACTGTTTTAAACTGTTTTTCATAATTTAGATATATGTGATAAGTCAGAATTTTTAGCCTGTAGAAAAGCAGTGATATTTAATAGTTACCATTTTCTTTTTTTTGGTGAGACTGGGTTTTGAACTCAGGGCTTTATGCTTGGAAAGCAAGCACTCTACCACTTGCGTCACACCTCTGGTACGTTTTTGCTCTGGTTATTTTGGAGATGGGGGTCTCCAGAACTATTTTCTTGACTGGCCTCAAACTGCCATCCTCCTGTTCTTAGCCTCCTAAGTAGCTAGGATTATAGGTATGAGCCATTGGCGCCTGGCTATAGTTACCATTTTATAAGATATTTATTATGTGTTCTTGTCAATATATTGCACAGTTAATATTGTTAATATATTAGTTCTAATTAAGTTTGGCTATCACATAGTAACCAAAAATCCCCATGGCTTACACAATATAGTTTCTTTTCACATACATGAAATCAAGGGCTGCTATAGTAGTACCTTCACTGTTGGGAATTGGAGAGGCCCTTCCGTCTGTTGTCTCTCCATCCTTTGTGCACTGCCTGGTGAGCCATGATGGTTGAGTGAGTTCTAACTATCCTGTTCAGGACTTAGGAAGGATTGTCTATACCTCATTGTCCTCTTAAGGAGTTCTTTTGGAAGACTTGTCCAGCAGTTGCCTGCTTCTCAATGTTAGAACATGGCCATATCTACCTGCAAGGGAAGCTTGAAAATTAATTAGTCATTTATTCTGGACAGTCCCATCCAATTAAAATTTATTACTCAGGAAGAAAGGGTGAATGGATATTTGGAAGCAAGTGGTCTCTGCTATAGCCTATGTGTCCCAAGCCTTCACAAGTTTTGTTTGCAGAAGATTTTCTGAGCATATATTTTGAACTGTGAAGAATAATTCCATTTGTCTTTTTATTTTTTTAAGGCATTTCTAGACCCCGATCAGACAGCGCTCCCCCTACACCTGTGAATAGATTAAGTATGCCTCAAAGCACTTCGGTCAATACCACTCCACCCCATAACCGAAGGCACCGGGCTGTTACTGTAAATAAGGCCACCATGAAGACAAGCACAGTAAGAACTTTTTCATCATTCTTATTAGGCTTTATAAAGTTCACTTCTTAATCTGCCATTTTCTCAAACTTTTCATTGGTATGGATCTGTTGTTGTGTTCTTCTGATAGGTTAGTACTGCTCATGCCTCAAAAGTCCAGCACCAGACTTCCTCCACCTCTCCTTTGTCAAGCCCAAATCAGACTAGTTCAGAACCCCGGCCACTGCCTGCCCCTCGAAGACCAAAGGTTAACAGCATCTTGAATCTCTTTGGATCATGGTTATTTGATGCAGCATTTGTTCACTGTAAACTTCATAATGGGATAAACAGAGACAGCAGCATGACTGGTAAATATTGCTCAAGAAATATGTTGTCATTTTTTTCCTTTTCTTTTTTTTTTTTAATCTTTCCTACCTGCAAGATTAATATGTATCTTGAAAAGCTCTCTTGTTTCTGATCAAGCACTGTCTTGTGCTTAACCCCTTCCAGCTGAAGTGACAGAAACTTTTGAAGTTTTCCCACCTGTACTTTTTAATGTATGTTCTATGAGGTTTGGCCTTTTTGTCTGATTTTATTAGACACACTTCAGATTAGACACTTCTTATTGTATCAAATTCCTTTCAGTAGGTGAGCTGGAAGTTCCCTTCATGTCAGCCAGGATAATAATATTTGCATGAAGAATTAAAGATTTTGTCTGGAAATTTATCCAAAGAAGTGTTTTCTTAGATTTTTGATATTCACTCAATCATTAGTTTATATGAATACCAGAAACTTTCTGCTTCTCAATATATTCTAACCTCTAGGTTTTAGTCTAGAGAACTTTCTTTCAAGGGCATACTTTAAAAAATATCATTTGCTCTGTAACTTAATAAGACTGGTAGAGAATTAACTCAACCTCGATATCTAGATTTATCATAGAAATAGAACTGTCTAAATAAAATTGGATTTACTTTGTCGTCTTACCATTATTCTATGAGAAGGAGGCAGAGGGTTCAGGATGGATGAGTGGGATAGTACAGAATGTTTTGAATATTTATGATAGGTCTTGTACAGTAGAATAATAGTAGTGGCTGGCATTTATTGAGCTGCTGATACTATGTGCCAGGTACTATGATTACACATTAATGAGTATATAGGTCATTTGGTAAGAAAACACTTTTCCACTGGGCTTGGAAATCAGCTGTCTGATTACATTAGATTTTGCATCTCTAGGGAGAATGTTAACTCCAGGATAAAACTAAAATAATGATGATAAGGGTCTCTGCATCCCTTAGAAGTGCAGTCATAGCTATTGTGTATCATCTCAGGATGAGGGTTGATGTTTAAGAATATTATGTCCTTATAATTATTTTGGATCTTCTTACAGATCTCTTCAATACTGCAGAAAAGTTACAAATATAAAGACTTTCAGGAATATAATTTGAGATTGGGTGAGATTAGGGATTCCTTTGCTTTATTTGCCCAAATTCAGACACTTTATATTTACCATTTCCATATTATAAGTTTATTCATGGGCTTACAAGTGCTTACTTATGAATAAGTCAGTATGCTTACTTGTGATAACTGAGTGAAAAAAAAAACACTTTTGAGTTATTTTTTCTTTATATTCATGTATGTTATATTTTGAATTTTCTGAACCATGTTTATTAATTTGTATGTTATGCTTTAGAGTGAGTTAGTCATACTTTGTATTTTCGATTTTTGTCAAGATGTAATTCTTATAATGTAACTTGGGATGGAGCTGTTGACCCTGAAATCCCTGAATCTGGCAGGGCTCAGCCTGCTGTTTTATTGGTGGGTTTGCTCAACGGGAATGTAGAGCTTTCCATCTCTAGGGAGTTTGTAACAGCTTTGCTTGCCCTCTTGCACCAGAAGTTAGGAACCAGAATTCAAATCATATGCACGCAACATCTTTTCACTCTTAACATTCTCCCTCATGGGGAAAGGTAGAAGCTTCTCTTCTCAGTGTGTTCAGAGATGCTAAAGGCTGTTACATCACCCAGGAGATAGGAGGTATCCAAATAGTTGAAGGGGTTATAGCATGCTCTTGGGTGCCAGTCTCCAGGTTGGGTGGCAGGGGATGATGGGAGGTTTGGGTGTATTAACTTCTCTGATTACTGGCTGCCATCAAGGAATTCTACCATGTAGTTCACCTGTAGTTTAAAGTGTTTACTTCTTTGAACTGGTTAGCTATCGATTTACCTGACAGTATACTGTAATACGTAAAAGTAACATTGAGCTGGGAAGGGTTAATGATCTAAAAATTTTAATGCACGTTATGGGCAGTTCAAAACCTCAAATCTTTGTAGTTGTGTAATTTTCTTCGTTCATTGTTTTGCATGATACAAAAATCATAATTTTGAACCCAAATGCACAATTTTCTATGTTTTTGAACTAGCTTGTGATATCGTAAAACTTTAAATCTTAACTCTTGAAAAGCTACAGAGCTTCTTAACTTAATGTAAAATTTCACCATCTTTAAAGTATTTTATAATTACTGCTGTCCTTTGATTTGTTTCCATTTATTTCTATTATCTTGCAGCATCTTTTATCCAAATTCTTCTTTCTTATAAATCTTGTAAGTAGGAACCAGAAGCTTCTCCTTAATTGCAGTCATGTTTTTATTTTTTCATAATTCCATTAAAAAATTTGATTGTCATTGTCTCTTGTAGTTTTTGCACTTGGGAAGAAAAATATATTTCTGTGTTTTGAATGGGGAAGATTGTTGGCAAAGCAAATTAATCTGCCTGAGTCAGTCCCATTGTTTCTGTATACTAGTCTGGCCATGTCATGAATTCCAGGACTTTGCACTAACTGTGTTTTGGCTTTTTTTTTTTTTTTAAGCTTTCAGCTTATTTTTATACAGATTTAGTGTTTGATTTGTATGCATTCTGCATGTAGTGTTTCTCAAATGTATTATTGCTGGATAGCTTATTCAGGACTAAAAATGGCTCATGGGAAGTTGCATAAAGATTTACGCGTGACTGCGCTCTATTAAGCCTATTATTATAAAACAATTTAAGCACTTATGTAGAGTAATAAAAGATTTCAGAGTGATTTTCAATACACTATGAAATCTTTTGTTAAAAGCAACTTTCGAAGGGCTTCTGTTTTGGTGACAATGAATGACCACGATAGTCTTCCTTAACCAATCTAATTTCCTGATTTATCAACCTCAAGTTAGCTGCTGTCTGTGGTTGTTAAAATTCATTCTCATTTTGCTTGGTTGGGCAATTCTTTGGTGTGTGTTTTGGAGTTGGGTGGGTGGTGGTGGAGTGGGAATGCTCTCTCTTCCTCCTTACCCATTTTACATCCTTACCTTACCCTCTCCCTAAAGTATACAAACTGGCATGGGGTTGCCCATTTAAATACGATGTCCATATGGGTTAAGGTGCACATTGTAGTAGCTGTTTTTCTTAATGTTTAAGCATTGTACAGGGGGAGGAAAAAGCAGAAAATAAAGAATAGAAAAGCCAAATTCTGTGTTATATATCTGTATATATAAGTACAGATATATACAAATGAACTCTTCTGATAAAAAAATTCAGTTGAAAAAATGTTTCTTGTAGAATCTGTTAAACTAATAATGCCACTGTAAATTAATTGTTATCCATTTTCAAAGAAGACTTCAGAGAGCCCTTAAAAAAAAATTAAGACATAGTTGCAATTCTACTCAAGTATCTATTTAATGACACCAATATTTGATCTTTGTGTCCAGGGTCCCATGAGCCGATATGGCATAATGACAAGTATAATAAAATCCTCCTTTTCTCTCCCCAGCCATTACAACACAAGCTAGCATGGAGTTTCGACGGAAAGGGTCACAAATGTCCACAGACACCATGGTTTCCAATCCTATGTTTGATGCAAGTGAATTTCCTGATAACTATGAAGCAGGAAGAGCTGAGGCTTGTGGGACACTGTGTAGGATTTTTTGTAGCAAGAAGACTGGAGAAGAGATTCTGCCAGCTTATTTATCCAGGTCTTAGAATTTTTTGTTTGTTTGTTTTTCCATTTATATAGTTTTCATAGTGAAATACTATTGCAGCATGGCTTGGAAGACTGAATTAATCAGTAAATGTGAATTGATAAGTAAATGTTGATCTGAAATATCTGCCAAATATCTGTATTTGCATGAATTCTTCGATTTCACCTGCCTCATCAGATTTGGTAAAGATTTCTAAGATTCTTTTAATTTCAGAAGTGTTATTTATTCCATCTTAATTGAATCCTATTAATTCTGGAGAGCTTGGAAGGACCACAATAATTTGGTAATAAATTTTTAGCATAATATTAGATTCTGTAGACTGTCAAGAAATAACCTGTAAATCCTGCTTCCAAAGGGCTTGTTTTCTGGAGTGAGCAAAGCCATGTAAAGAAGTAACCATGATCCAATAGTAATAAGAAGGTGACAGGAGAGAGGCCCAGGTACAGGGCTATGGGAATTGGAAGAAGAAGCAGCATGCATTTACCTTCTAGACTGGCTCAGGAAAGAGTTACGGTAGATGGGATGATTGTGCTGGATTGGGGAAGGGTGGACAGGGTTTAGACTGTGTTAGGAGGTTGGGTAGGATCATCTTATCCAAATCTCTGGCTTTAGCCATCTCTGTGAATGGCTCTGCCATTCATTCAGCTGCTTAGTTCAGAACCTAGCCAGAACCCAGGAGTCATGTTAGACTTTTTCTCTCTATAGCTTTAGTTGATCAACTAACTCTTGCCTGTCTGCTACTTAATCCTCTTTCTGATTGCTGTCTCCATTCTGTTCCCACCATGATACTTTGGACTCTGTCACTTTACTTTTTCTTTTTGCCTTATTGGGGTTTGAACTCAGGGCCTACACTTTGAGCCACTCCACCAGCCCTTTTTTGTGATGTGATTTTTCAAGATAGAGTCTCTCATACTATTTGCCTGGGCTAGCTTTGAATTTGATCCTACTAGTCTCTGCCTCCTGAGTAGCTAGGATTATAAGAGTGAGCTACCAGAACCCGGCTTGTCACTTTTCTTGTAAGTGAATTTATATTGGCCTCCTATTTCCTTAATTCTGCTTTGTTCTCCTCAACTATTTGTATAACTGCTGAAATAAGGTTAATATCAACCAGAGCATTTAGATATTTGTGCATTTGCTAGGTTCTCAGAAGAGAGGAATAAACTGACTGTCAGAGGAAACTAAGTACAAGAGTCTATGAAAAAACATGGTATATACAGGGAACTAGTCAGGGGTATCTTAACCATGGACTCTTGGCTTTCAAGTAATAGAAGCCCTCTCAATTTAATTTAGGCAAAGGAGAATGAATTTTGAGAAGCTAGTGGTATTTAATAAACTCTAAGGTTAGGAAACACAGAGGGCCTTAGAAAGAACAGGAACCAGGGACTGGAATGTGTTCAAGGATTCAAACAACTTTCTTCCTTTCTGTTTCTCTATCTTCATAGTCTCCCAGACCTACTTCATTCTTCTTCTCTCAGCAGATCATTTTTCTTACATCACAGTATGCTTCTAAGCTCCCAGTTTCATAGTCTTAGTCTAGATGACCAGCAGGATCAATTAGCATCTCTGAATCCTAATTTCAGATTCTTAGGAAAGAGGATCTGATCAATTAGGTGTCTGTATCTGATTTAATCAGTGTTATCTGTGAGAGTGAGTCACATAGGGTGTTAGAGTTTACAACCTACTGTGGGGGTCCATTTCTCAGGAGGGAGATCATGAGCTGGAAAGAGATCCCAGTGGTTCAATAGCAGTAAGGGAGAAGGCTATGACCTTGAGCTTTCTGTCTGGTACATAAGACTAGATGGGTGATAGTATGACAAACTTAAAAAACATATTTGTGAGAGGAGAAATTATGAGTTTAGTTTTAAATATATTGAATTTGAAGTGCTTGTGGGATATTTATCAACACTGCAGGTGTGGCTCAAGTGGTAGAGCACCAGCCTGGCAAGCATAAGGCCCTGAGTTGAAACCCTAGTGTTACCAAAAGCCAAAACAAAACAACACCAAATAATATCTTATGTGCCTACTTTGTACCAGATACTGTACTCATGAGTAGTACTATAGGAATCAATAGACATATCCTGCCCTCCGATAACCAGGAAGGTTTGGCTAAGAAATCTGGAGCTCAGTTGGAGGTGTGGACTAGAACTGATTTGATTATATTCAGTGGCTTAAGAAGTGTTTAAAATCAGGCTGGTAGAAGGGAACTTAGAGAACTGAGGTTGATGTCCTGAGAAATGCCACTCTTAAGGGCAATAGAACTAGAGAATCTAATAAAGGAAGTAGCCTTAGAGGTCAGAAGAGAATAAGGAGAGATGTGGAGTGATCAAAGGGATCAAAGGGATGCTTTCAAAAAGGCACAGTAACTGAAGACTTACACGTGTCTTCTGGACTGGCACTTGAGAAGCTGTTGGTCATTTGAATTCTAGGGAGAAAAGATAGATTGACATCGGTTGAGCTGTCACCAGTAGGTGAGGAAGTTGTTTCCAAAGGAAAAAAATAATTTGGTCTTGGTATATATGATTCTGAATTGTTCAAATTCTAGTAATATCCTTTAAAAGAAAGAGTGAAGAGTGGAAAAGACTTTCAGATGACTATGTAGAAAATATTAATGATTGTGGAAACTTTTGATTAGAAGTTTGTTTAAATTTTTTTTTTTGCTTTCCTAGATTTTACATGCTTTTAATTCAAGGTTTGCAGATAAATGATTATGTGTGCCATCCTGTCTTGGCCAGCGTTATTCTAAACTCCCCTCCTTTGTTCTGCTGTGACTTGAAAGGGGTTGATGTTGTGGTTCCTTACTTTATTTCAGCTCTTGAAACCATTTTGCCTGACAGGTAAGCTGTCATTCTCTACTACTATATCAGTTGTCTGGTTTGGCGTTTCCTCCTGTTTTCTAAGTTATCCTGTTCAATTGTCTTTATAGTCCAAGGGGACATTAAATTGAGTACGGGCCATCCAAACCCATCTCATCCCTGGATGCTTTCAGTTCTGATTGTCTGTGGGCTTCTTGAATCCTTTTTGGCTTGGTCTAGAGAGGTCAGAGCAAACCCAGCCCAGGGTTCTTCTTTAGTAGAGTTGACATTTTAAATGAAGAAATAAATCATCCAAATTCTAGTTTGGTTCCGTAACAGTTTAACATTGAAGTTCACACACACAGTGCTTAGATTGTGAAAAATTGATGTGGTAAATATTTGGCAATAGCTAAAAATGTACTTTAGCTCAAAAATACTAATAGCTTTTTATTTCTTGGCAGAGAACTCTCAAAATTCAAAAGCTATGTAAATCCAACAGAATTGAGAAGATCTTCCATTAATATCCTGCTTTCTTTATTACCCCTCCCTCATCATTTTGGCACAGTCAAATCTGAGGTAATGTTTCATTAAACATTTGTTTTTGTCTTTTGTTGTTGTGGTGGTTTTATTTTGTTTTGGAGATAGGGTCTCAGTAGGTAGCCCAGGTGGCCTCAAATTCATATTCCTCCTGCTTCAGCCTCCCAAGCTCTGAGTTTGCAATTGTGCACCATTGTACCTAGCCATTATTAATGTTTTTTATATTCTATGTTCCAATTCTGTATGCTAATTTAAGTCAAACTGTATTTAAATAAATGGACCAGTGGCTTTAAAAAAAAAAAAAAACCTAAGTTTTTTCAAGTGAATTAATGAAGTTGTTCTGTGCTGATATTTCTTCTCTTGGACTGCCAGCATTCCTTTGTCTCCTTTTCATGTGGTTGTTGTGACATCTAGTTTTAGTGACATCTTACAACAGATGTTGAATGAATTAGTGACAGACAGCACAGTGGCAAGTATTAGACTGGAAGCTTTTCGTCTGATCTTTTCTTTGTTCCTTCTAGCTGTTCCTGCGTAGACATTATGCACCATGACAGCAGAGGTGAAATTTTATTTCTTTTTTTCCACAGGTAGTCCTGGAAGGAAAGTTTAGTAATGACGACAGTGCTTCTTATGATAAACCAATAACTTTTCTGTCCCTGAAGTTGAGACTTGTGAATATACTAATAGGTGCCTTGCAAACGGAAACGGACCCCAACAACACTCAAATGATACTAGGTTTGTGTTCACTTTTTATATAAGTTAAAACCCAAGTACTGTTGACCCTGTGTATGGAGACTCAGGTCAGTGAGAAGAACCTAATCCTAGTGCATTTGCTCTTATTATTCTGAATCAGAGGCAGAATTTATTTGCTTTTTAATGAAAAAAAAATATATAAAGGGATGGTATAAGAGAAGGAAAGCATTTCAGTGTCTTGGTTCATCATTTTATTTGTGCTTTTTGTTTATCTTTCTCTCTGCCTCCCTCTCTTCCTTTCTCCCTTCTGCTGTTCTTTTTCTCCCTTCACTTCTCCTTTCTCTTCTTTTCTCCTCACTTCCTTCCCTTCTGCCTCTTTCTCTTTCTCATTTTCCTCTTCCTGCCCATTACTTAATGTGAAAAACTTGGGGTGGCTGGGTAATTCTGGAAGCCAAGTCAGCACCCCGCCAAGAAGAAATTGTAGAGTAGCTACTGTGCTTCTTCCTCGATCCTTACTGTATCTTACTGTCTCCTAATCATAATGATTCTGTCTTAAATGTCTCTGCAGCATGGCCACTGACATATTCTAGGTCCTTATCACTTCTTTACTTGATTGCTGTACCCATTTCTTATTATCCCTCAGCTCTTCATCAAAGCCAAGGAAGGGCATGGTCCTAGGTGCAGTCTAATTGCAAAGACTGATATGTCCTCACAGAACAATCTCATAAGGGCACAGGTTGGGAGTGAAGAAACCAGAACGGTAGGGGAAAGTAGGAGTTAAATTATATCTTGAAGATCCAATAGGAACTTTTCTTGCATAGGCAGAAATGGGGTTAGAATTTCATTCCAGGAGAGGATGTGACATGGCCAAAAGTTAGTGATGGCAGTAGTGGTTGGAGTGAGTGCTTGGTCTGCTGTGTTGGGCAGTGAGAAAGCAGAATGAGGAAGGAAGAGTAAAACCCTCCATTTAGAAAAAATTTGAAGGAACAGAGGTTATACATAACCTCTTCATTTTATTGTTTGACAAGGTTTTAGAAACATACTTTAAAAAAAGATAAAAAGAGAAAAATCGGAAGCAAGAGGATCCAGCTAGTTAAATTATGCATTTTGGAATTACTCATAAATTTCCCCTGATAGAAAAACATTTTAAGCCAGGAAGTGGGAAATACAGTGCTCACCATGCAGGGAGTTGTCAGAAATAAAAGAATTTGTAAAATGCCGACTCTAGTGTGAAAACAGCTATTTTTGTGGCTCATTGAGCTGTGGTCCCTTGGGCTTAGGAAGCACAGGATGTCTTAGATCTGTTAGGAGTACACTGAATAGGCTGCCTAGCACACAGTCTCATCTTATTCTGATACCATCATTCCTTTCTGACTAAAAACACACCTTGGTCACTTTCTACCAGCACCCATCTCAGTTCCTTGTCCTTAGTGATCCTCTTGTTCCCCACTCCAGCCATAGCCTTCACATGATCCTGTTCTAAATCTTAACATCACTGAAAACTGAAGTGTCTACTATCTTGATTTCAGCTGTTCTATTTCCCATTACCATCCACCCTGTCATTTCTTTGAATTTACTCTTTCTCCAGCAATTTTCTAATCTAGGAATAAGCAAACTATAGCTTAGGAGCCAAATGTGGCCTGCTATTTTTGCAATAGAGTTTTATTGGAACACAGTCATGACTATTTGTGTATTGTCTGCTGCTAATGAGCAAGGCTTTCAGTCTGCTGCTTTTGTGCTACATTAGGAGAATTGAACAGAGACTAACACAAAGTGACAGTTGTGACATAGACTAATACAAAGTGTAAACTAAGTACAGGAAAACTTTACTGAGATAGGATTATAGCTTTGTGATAGAAAGCTTAGAGTTTAATACCCAGTGCCACAAAAATAGGATTGAGAGTGAGAGACCTGGTCTCCCTGCTTCCTTTCTTGGCTTCTAAGATTTAACCTCCCCATGTAAGCTGGAATCATTGTTCTAAAGGATGAGGTTGATAATGACAGTTTCCAATGGTCAGCTATTGCCTGACTGTTAACACTTTGAATAAAATCCATATTCCTTACCCTGACCTATGGAGACCCTATATTCAAACATCTCACCCATATCACCTTGTATGGTCAGAAATGTATAACTGTGGGTTTTGTTTTAATTTGCTTTATTTCTGAAAGATCGGAATGTGGTTTAAAAGCATTCTGTAATATTTTTCTTAGTTTGTATTACCTTTGAAATCAAATGGTTACACCTAGCCTTTTTTTGTTTTGCTTCATTTTTTTGCAAAGGGTTTCACTATGTAGCACAGATTGTCCTTGAACTAGATATCCTCCTGCCTCAGCTTCCCAGTTGCTAGGATAATTGGTGTGTGCCACCGTGCTCAGATTACATGTGGCCTTTCACCCAATTAAAAAGTATCTGATAATGGGCATGTTTGACTTTCAAACTTACTTTAGATAAATATGATTTTAAAACTTTGGAAGCAGATTGGAATTTGGGAATTTCTAAAAAGTATCTTTTCTGACCAATCAATGGATTTATTAGGAATTTTTAGAGAATTTCAGATAAGCTTAGTCAAAATCATATTCTTATCTCTGCTCTTAATTATTTTAGTGTGAGATATTTTAGTGTTCTTATGTATTTTATATTAAATACTTTGTTTGTTTTGCTGTTGCAGGGGCAATGTTAAATATTGTTCAAGATTCTGCACTTTTAGAAGCCATCGGTTGCCAAATGGAGATGGTAAGAAGCATACGACATGCAATCTGTCATAGAAAATCAAGTTTCAAAAGTCTGTCTAGTGGTTTTAAAAGGCAATTTGTTTGTAAATCCACTTCATTGACTGAAGGATCCTATTTAAAAATATTACCTTTTTTTTTCTGCTGTACTGGGGTTTTAAGCTCAGAACCTTGTGCTTGCTATGCAGGCGCTCTGCTGCTTGAGCCATATTCCCAAACCTTTTTTCATTAGGTATTTTTCATATAGGGTCTTGTATTTATGCTCTGGCTGGCCTAGACTACGATCCTCCTATTTATGCTTCTTGCATAGTTGGGATGACAGGTAAGAGCAAGCTACTACAGCCAGTTTTTATTGGCTGGGATGGGGGTCTCTTGAACTTTTTGCCCCAGCTATCCTCAAAACACAATACTCTTGATCTCCACCTCTCGAATAGCTAGGATTACAGGCATTAGTCTGTATTTTGGGGTTTCTGACCTTTTAGTACATCATCAGCTATGCCTCAGGTGACTGAGAGATTCTTCATGTCAGAAACTCCAACAGGGCAGTGTTTGCCTAAAGCTCTTACTTGTTTTGCTGTGCTGTTGAATTGCCTTGAATAATCTAAATCTCCTATTCCATAATTTCTGTCATCCCTGTGAGATCTATGATCTCTTTCTAGACCCTGTAGAACAAAGTTTGCAAAGCACTCATGCTTCTAAGTCAGAACTTCCTAGAGACTTGGCAGTGTTCCTTGCTTCTGTCTTCAGGATGTTCCTTATATATGGAGTAGAGGCTGGGAAATGGGGGGATTAATAGGTTATACTGGATGTGCCAGGTGGATGTAGGATGGGAAATCAGCTTAGCATTTACCATATCCCAGGAGATGGCTGATAATTCACTGATATGGATATAATAAGTTACATTTATATGGGAAAAGCCAGAGAATTTTTTAACAGATAGATTTATTAACCCTTACAGGAATTTATACTAGTCATAGAATTGTATTATATGTGTTTTATGAAATAAGTAGATTTGAAAGTTGCTGCCATTTCTTCTTCTTCTTTTTTTTTTTTTTAAGATTGTATTCTCCTTATGAAGTTTTCCTTGGGAAGCACCTAGGGTGTTTTTTCTCCTGAGGATATAATGTCATTCGATAGAGGGTAAAAAAGATCTTGGCCCAGCCCTTTGTAGACAGCAGCAAAGAACATTCCAGTGTAGACACTTATAGTCATCAAACCTTTCATACCCTTCAGAAGATGGTGTCTTAGCATAAGTACCACAGCAGTTTTAATCCCTTGTCAGTTTTTCATCTGTGAATCACTTTGTGCTGTTTAGTTGGCACATTCCATTTTATCTAGTTTTTACTGATTAATCTCTATTTATACTTATAATCTATCATCCAAATACTTGATTCATTTTCACTTGACTAGGGTGGTGGAGAAAATAACCTGAAGAGTCACAGTCGCACTAATAGTGGTATTAGTTCAGCAAGTGGTGGGAGCACAGAGCCCACAACACCTGACAGCGAGAGGCCTGCTCAAGCTCTTCTAAGGGACTATGGTAAGCTATGATTTTTTTGTTTGTTTGTTTTTTAAATACAAGTATGACTGAATAATAAAATTTTAAAACAAAGCTAAAAAATTATGTACTAAGGCATAGTAGGATATTAGTTTAAAAAACTAAGAAAACATCAAGTATTTTTTGATTTTGGTAGTTTATTTGATTTTGTAGATGATTATAGTGAATAGTCAGGAGACTTTTCTGGATTCTGTACCAGGAGCTGGTAATACAAAGTCAAATTAGATGTGGGCTCTGTCTCAGAGCTCTTTGTCTAGTGGCAGAGATGTCCAGTGAATCTGTTGCATTGTACTGAGGGGAATGATGGAGTATGTATTACATGGGAACCCAGGGGTGTATCTGTCTCTGTGTTAAAACTACGTACCCTACTATACCTTGTTAGATTCTTCAATCACAAATTTTCAGCAAGAATAAGGAAACATTTTTATTTTCTGCCTTGACAAATAAAACATTCGCCAGCAAAGCATCCTATTCACTGATGTCCTTTACATTGGGCAGTTATTTCATGGATTCAGTGAGATCTTGGTAGTTTTTTTTTATATACAAATGCTAACAGTGTTGTATTGAATCTATAGATGTTTATCCAACTACGTTGGAATGTCACCTAGTTCTTTAGATGTGAGTTTTAAGTTTTTAGTTGTCTGGAGAATCTATGAGCCATGTTCATGAGGCATGTTTTTGTGGTTTAAGTTTGCAGTAAGTATCCTTAGCATGTCAGATACATAAAGTCATTATGTGTGGATACTCAGTGCATTTAAATATCACACTTAAAATGAAGTTATTTAATAACTGTTAAGTTAATATTATATATGTAAATGTGGGTGTACTCTAGGATGAAAATTTTATTTTTCATGCTTTCTAAAAAACATTTTTAAACTAAAGAAAATTTTGCATTGTTGCATGTGTTCTAATATAAGTGTGTGGAGTGATCATTGTTTGTTTCAGCATTTTGAACTGGTGTTAGTGAGCTCTGCTTGTAATGTTGTAAAATATTTTTACTAAGAAATCCAGACTTGTGTTAGTGTCATGTGAATGTCTCTCTTTAATGATCATTCCTTTTTCTGTTGTCACTGCCCTCTTTCTGATAGGATCGACAGGTATAATGTCCCTAAAGCTTCCTTTGTAAATTCATTTTTATTTGTCCTAATTTAATTTTTCCTAATTCACTATTAGCTAATAATAGTTACTTTTAAAGATAAAATTGGAGGCCAAGTAAAGACATAGTGGCTTAGAAGTATTAGTCTTGTAAAGTTAAAATATTGGGATTGAAAAGGCATTGCATGTGATTTTTAATGGGTTAAACTCTGCAAGTAATTTGAACAGATGCTTTAGGGTAATTCCCAGCATCTGAGGAGGTTGTAAAAGTTAAATTCATTCCTCTGTAAAGTTCCACAGAAATACTTGATAGCCTCTTCTTCGTCTTTTTTGAAAATGTAACTGAGTTATTAATTTAGAAATTTTCAGACTTAATCATCGTAAGAATGGTACTGAAACTGCCAAGTCCCATGGTGGTCTATGTGGAAAGTATGTGGGCTGGGAGCTAGCAGCCACCCTGGCCAGCCATGTGTGCCCATGCACTGTCAGTCAGGCCTGGTGCTCAGGCCAGTGGGGCGGGGAACATAGCGCGGTGTGGGTGCTCGTGTGCTCACTGTAGCTGCTGTGGTCTGTGCCTAGTGGAATGCTGTGCTTCTTGTTACTAATGCTTAGTTGTTTTCCCTCCCTGTGGGATGTGGCATTGGGTTATATCCTAGCTCTTAATACAGATTCAGCTGCTGGGCTCCTGATTCGCAGCATTCATCTCGTCACTCAAAGACTCAACTCTCAGTGGCGGCAAGACATGAGCATATCACTGGCAGCTCTAGAGCTCCTCTCTGGTCTGGCCAAGGTGAGGAGGATAGTCCTTTATTTTAACGCAGCAGCCCTGAGCTATGGCTCCTTCTGTATCTCTTGACCCTTTGGTGAGGGTATTGAAATGTCGGCCATACTCAAACATAATTTATATCCAAAATTGAGCCATTGAGTGAAATTTTAAAATAGACTGTGTTAAATATAGATTCAAAGAGTATGAATGTTTTGGCTGTTAAATTACAGACGTTTGAATTCTTGTTATTTATTTATTTGCATTTAACAATAGGATACCTACTGGTTTTATAAAAAGTAGTTATGCTGAAGTATGCCAATTGTATTATCTATAGATGAGTGAAAACTCACTGTACATTTACATTTCTTTCACAGCTGTTAATTCAGTTGTTATAGCTGGATAGCTATTCGAACTTCTCTTAAGTGTTTTTATAAGGTGAAATTCAAATAATGTAAAACTGACAATCTTAAAGTAAGCAATTTAGTGCTTATTATTACACTCACAGTGTTTTGCAACCACTGCTTATAGTTCCAAAATGTTTTTATCACCCTGGAAAGAAACCCTGTACCCATTAAATAGTTGCTTCCTTGTTCCCCATCCCTTCAACCTGGGCAGCCGCTCATCTTCATTTCCCCATGGGTATACATATTATGGATATTTCATATAAATGGAATCATCTAATATGTGCCTTTTGTGCCTGATTTTTCACTTAAGATAATTTGTTGACTTCCATTCCTCTTGCACAGTTTGTTGAAATTCCCTTTTATGGTTGAATAATACTTCATCGAATGTATAAATCACAATTTATTTGATGGATATTTGGGTTGTTTCCTTCTTTAGACCATTGTCAGTAGTGCTTCTGTGAACATGTATTTGTTTGAATACCAGTTTTTGATTCTTTGGGGTATCTACTAAGGAATGGAATTGCTGGGTATATGGTAATTCTAAGACTTGAGCCACCCCACCAGCCATGGTAATTCGATATTTAACTTTTTGAATAATTGCCAAATTGTTTTTCACAGCTACTGAGTCATTTTACATTCCCACCAGCAGTGTACAAGGGTTCTAATTTCTTCACATGCTCACTAGTTGCTAAGTGTTGTTTAGTCATTAAAGTGGGCAGGATTATCTTTCCTCTAACCCTAGTGTCTGAGTATCAAATGAGATGAAATATATGTTACATTGTAAGCAGAAGGTGACATATACACACAAGGTGGTACTGTCTGGGACAAGGTAGTTCAAATCTTTGTTTTATAGATGTGGGTGGGAACAGCTGATCAGAGGCTGTGACTTACAACCCACGAGAGACAAAATAGGCAAGAAAACCTAGTATGTTCTCACCACCACTTAGATCTTACTTCAGAGAGCTCTAGGAAATGAACATAATAGTATTACGAGGAGGCATTTGTGATACAAAAAAGTTAGAACATGTAGGGCTGTACAGTCTGGCAGCAGGTACTGTTTCCTGTGACCTTTAGCACACTCTTTCATAGTAAGGAATTAGCCTTAGATCTGATTTGTATCTTTGTAATGAATTATAAGGGCTAATAGTGATTTTGTGACTTACTATGCAGCTACAATAATCAAAGCAGTCTGGTTTGGAACATGGCTGGACAAATAGATCAATGAAATAGAATTGAGAGTTAGGAAGTAGATCCACAGACATGTGGTCATTTGGTTTTTGACAAAGGTACAGTGGAATTCAAAGGAGAAAAAATAGTCTTTTTCAATCAGTGGTATTGGAATAATTGGATATTTATCAACAGAAAAGCCAAAAACTTTATACCATGTACAAAAATTAACTAAAAACACATTATAGATCTAAATGTCAAACCTAAACACTAACTTCTAGAAGAAAATAAGAGAAAAATCTTTGTAACCTTGGGTTATACAAAGATTTCTCAGATATTGCATTATAGAAGAACAAATTGATAATTAGATAATCAGCACAACAATAAAAAAAGAAAAAAGATATACATGGTGGCAAATAAGCACATGAATAGATGCTCAGTATCATTAGGGACATGTAATTAATGCCGCAGAGTGGTATCATTGTATACCTATTGTTGTTGTTGTTGTTGTTAGTGGTTGTTTGTTTTTGGTGGCACTGGGGTTTGAACTCAGGCCTTGTGCTTGCTAGGCAGGCACTCTGCCACTTGATATAAGTTCCCAGCTCTTATTTTTCACTTATTTATTTTTTTAATGGTATTGGGGTTTGAATGCTTGCAAAGCAGGTGCTCCACTTCTCGAACCATACCTCTAGCCCTTTTTGCTCTGATTATTTTGGATATAGGGTCTCACTTTTTTTTTTTGAGACCAGCCTGAACCTTGATCCTCCTATTTTATGCCTCTGGCCATCAGTGGGATTATAGGCACACCACCATGCCCAACTTTTTTCCATTGTGATGGGGGGTCTTGTATACTTTTTTTGCCCAGGCTGGCCTGGAATGGGATGACCTCCTGAAGCTAGGATAACAGATGTGAGCCACTGGCTCCTGGCTTCCATATCTATTAGAATGGCTAAAATTAAAAAAAGACTGATCCTACCAGCTGTTAGTAAGGATGTGGGACAACTATTGGGAATGCAAAATGGAATTAACAGGTTGGAAAACACCTTTGACAATTTCTTAAAAAGTTAAACATGCACCTGTCATATGTCATAGTCATTCTGCTTCCGGGATATAAGAGCATATATATCCGTTCAAAGACTTGTACATGTTAGGGGTAGTGGCACATGTCTTAATTATAATACTCAAGAGACTGAGGCCAGCCTGGGCTAATAACAAGACCCTGTCTCAAAAATAAAAAGATTTGTATAGGAGTGTTCACAACAGTTTTATTTGTGATATCCAGAAGCTGGTGTCAACCCAAATGTCTGTTAACAGGTGTCTGAATAGACAAATTGTGGTATATCCATGTGATGGAATACTTTCAGCAATAAAAAAGAACAAACAATTGATACACACAAAGATGTAGATAAATTTGAAAAAATTATACTGAGTGAAAGAAGACTTTAAAAAGTAATACTGTATGATTTTAAAAACTCTAGGAAATATAAGCCTTCCTATAATGATATAGCACATCATCAGTTGCTTTGCGAGAGGGGCAAAGAGGAGTGGGGGTGGGTTACAAAGGTACATGAGATTTTGGAGATGATGAAAAGGTTCAGTATCTGTTAACAGTTCACAGGTGTGTATTTAGGTCAAAATTGATCAGATTGCATAGTTTAAGTATGTGCAGTTTACTGTGGTAATTATACCTCTGTTCAGCTATACAGAACTTTGTGTAGAACATAGAGCTTGTGAGATGGAGTAGGGGTTTATAAATGTGCATGTTTCATTGCCAGCTTTCCTTTAGTCTCTGCAGTGGTGAGTAGTGCACCTAAGGGGTTGGATTTCAGGGCAAGAAGAACCAAGCCAAAGTAAAATACTATTTTAGGATTTGAAAAATGCCACTAAGTTTTTCTAGTGTATGATAGTACACCTGAAACATTCTGCTCCCCTATATAAATAATACTTAAAAAGCAAGGCCTTCAGTGGCATATCAGATTCTCAAATAGGGTCAGCCTCAGTGCTAATGCTTTGAAGTTGGTGCAGTGGTTCCTGGCTAATTGTTTTTCCTTTTCCAAATGAACCTGCTCAGGTGAAGGTGATGGTGGACTCAGGAGACCGTAAACGAGCCATCAGTTCTGTGTGCAGCTATATCGTGTACCAGTGCAGTCGGCCAGCTCCTCTGCACTCCCGAGATTTACACTCCATGATAGTAGCTGCTTTTCAGTGTCTTTGTGTCTGGCTGACAGAGCACCCTGATATGCTCGATGAAAAGGTGAGTTTATTCAGCTGTAATATGTTAAATAGAAACAAAAATGTAGATGGGGAAAATACTCTTAAAATAGAATATCTAAATTTAAATACAGTATCACATTTTTTTAATATACTTGTTAGATTTCAATAACACTTATTCTTTTGAACACAGTTTGAAAACTGTTTTCATACTTACATTTGTTTGCAAATTAACCTACAGAGAAGTTTTAGACCTTGCCTGATTTGTCTGAACTATTGAGACTGTTCTTTTGAAACAGTAGCCTGGAGATAGCTACTGAGCACTATAGCTCCCTATAGTGTTACATAGTCTGTAACATAAACAAGAAGGGCAGTTGATTGCTAGCCTACAAAGCTAGAGCACAGCTTGTCTGTAAAAGTTACTTCTATCTAAAAATTTTATTTTACACACATTTGTCCTCTTTAAAGTGGATGCACATATCTAGCCTGCTTTCTCTACCATTATTCATGGGAAGCAGGCATTGTATAGAGTTCACCGTGAAAGGAAAAGAAGGGATAGCAGGGTCATTGGCTGCTTATAAAGAACTCTATGCAATTTACAAAATAGTGTTTATCTTAGTCACAGTCATTGTACCTTCTAAAGTTTTGATACCAGAAATTGCTTAAAAATGTCAGTAACTGAAGAGCTTCTCTTTTGTATATTAGACAATCTAATATGTCCTTTTAAAAATTTTTGAATGGAATCGAGGCTTGAACTCAAGGCTTCATGCTCATAAAGCAGACGCTCTTCTGCTTATACCACACCTCCAGTTCATTTTGCTCTGGTTATTTTGGAGATGAGATTTCTCAAACTGCCATGGCTGTCTTCAAACCTTAATCCTTACAATCTCAACCTCCTACCAAGTAGCACCATTGGTGCCAGGCCTTTTTTGGGGGGTGGGAAAGGGTAGAGGTGTACTAGGGATTGAACTTGGCCTCACACTTGTTAGGTAGGCTCTACCACTGAGCCATACCCCTACTCCAATCTAATATGTCTTAAGCCATTTTAACTATATTAGTGTTATTGCTCTTTCACTTGGCCTTTCATGATTTATGGTCTGTGTTAATTTTATAAGAATTGTGACTGATAAAATTAAACTTTATCTCTGAACATGCAAATTTAGTTTATTAAAGAGAAGGGGTGTTTAAGTTTTGTTATATTGCTATGATATTAGCATACATTTATTAAAGAAAATTAGAAACTGAAGCCTTACCATCATAACATTGATTAGCATTTTGATGGATTCCTTGTGTTCTCATAAAAAAAGATGTATTACAAAAATTGATCTACCTTTCCTGCTTCTAGGACTGCCTTAAGGAAGTACTAGAGATTGTGGAACTGGGTATCTCAGGAAGTAAATCCAAAAACAGTGAGCAAGAGGTTAAGTACAAAGGAGATAAAGAGCCAAACCCTGCATCAATGAGGGTGAAGGATGCTGCTGAAGCCACCCTAACATGGTATGAATGTGACTGTAAAGGATTGCGCCTAGGAATAAGATGGGTTAGCAGTGATCTGTGCTGTTTTGTCTCTTCCCTGATTGTTCAGTATTAAGTGACTGAACCCCTTGAGGATATTTTGTCTCCGGAAGTAAAATGAAAAGGAAATACTCCCTTCTTTGTACCTGTTTTTTAGACCAAAAGAAACCAGGAACTTGGGGCTGAGAGTTTGGGTCCTTGTGTTTCCATACTGATTCAAGCCAGATTATGTTCAAGCTGTAAAGGATCTTAGAAAGACTTACTCCACCCCCACTTACTTTAATGGCTGAGTCCAGGGGCAAGATGTGTCTGTGTCACGTCATTGAATCTCTTGCTTCCTAGCTTGGTAGTTGTGATCTCTGCTACACCTTTTATATTACATGTTACAGGTTCATTCAGCTAAGATTTATGAACTCCCTCTTTAGAACTGGTAATAGGATCGTAAAGACAAATCAGATTCAGTCACTACAAACACCACCATCTTGTTCAGTATGAAGATAAAATATAAGTACAAACTTCTATAATAATAGGTGGATAATAACCATTCCAAGCAAAGAGATGCAAATAAAATGCTGGAGAACTGGAGGTGGAAATGAATACTTCTATTTTTTTTTAAATTTTTATTTTATTCATATGTGCATACAATGTTTGGGTCATTTCTCCCCCTCCCCCACCCCTCCTTCCACCTCCCCCCTCCCTCTCCCCCCACCCTCAATACCAGCAGAAACTATTTTGCCCTTATCTCTAATTTTGTTGAAGAGAGAGTATAAGCAATAATAGGAAGGAACAAGGGTTTTTGCTGGTTGAGATAAGGATAGCTATACAGGGAGTTGCCTCCCATTAATTTTGTTTTTACCTTCTGTTTGTTACCTTCTATTAATTCTTCTGACTAACCTTTTCTCTAGTTCCTGGTCCCCTTTTCCTATTGGCCTCAGTTGCTTTAAGGTATCTGCTTTAGTTTCTCTGCGTTGAGGGCAACAAATGCTAGCTAGTTTTTTAGGTGTCTTACCTATCCTCATACCTCCCTTGTGTGCTCTCGCTTTTATCATGTGCTCAAAGTCCAATCCCCTTGTTGTGTTTGCCCTTGATCTAATGTCCACATATGAGGGAGAACATACGATTTTTGGTCTTTTGGGCCAGGCTAACCTCACTCAGAATGATGTTCTCCAATTCCATCCATTTACCAGCGAATGATAACATTTCGTTCTTCTTCATGGCTGCATAAAATTCCATTGTGTATAGATACCACATTTTCTTAATCCATTCGTCAGTGGTGGGCATCTTGGCTGTTTCCATAACTTGGCTATTGTGAATAGTGCCGCAATAAACATGGGTGTGCAGGTGCCTCTGGAGTAACCTGTGTCACAGTCTTTTGGGTATATCCCCAAGAGTGGTATTGCTGGATCAAATGGTAGATCAATGTTTAGCTTTTTAAGTAGCCTCCAAATTTTTTCCAGAGTGGTTGTACTAGTTTACATTCCCACCAACAGTGTAAGAGGGTTCCTTTTTCCCCGCATCCTCCCAACACCTGTTGTTGGTGTTGCTAATGATGGCTATTCTAACAGGGGTGAGGTGGAATCTTAGTGTGGTTTTAATTTGCATTTCCTTTATTGCTAGAGATGGTGAGCATTTTTTCATGTGTTTTTTGGCCATTTGAATTTCTTCTTTTGAGAAAGTTCTGTTTAGTTCACTTGCCCATTTCTTTATTGGTTCATTATTTTGGGAGAATTTAGTTTTTTAAGTTCCCTAATATTCTGGTTATCAGTCCTTTGTCTGATGTGTAGCTGGCAAATATTTTCTCCCACTCTGTGGGTGTTCTCTTCAGTTTAGAGACCATTTCTTTTGATGAACAGCTTTTTAGTTTTATGAGGTCCCATTTATCTATGCTATCTCTTAGTTGCTGTGCTACTGGGGTTCATTGAGAAAGTTCTTACCTATACCTACTAACTCCAGAGTATTTCCTACTCTTTCCTGTATCAACTTTAGAGTTTGGGTCTGATATTAAGATCCTTGATCCATTTTGAGTTAATATTGGTATAGGGTGATATACATGGATCTAGTTTCAGTTTTTTGCAGACTGCTAACCAGTTTTCCCAGCAGTTTTTGTTGAAGAGGCTGCTATTTCTCCATCGTATATTTTTAGCTCCTTTGTCAAAGACAAGTTGGTTATAGTTGTGTGGCTTCATATCTGGGTCCTCTATTCTGTTCCACTGGTCTTCATGTCTGTTTTTGTGCCAGTACCATGCTGTTTTTATTGTTATTGCTTTGTAATATAGTTTGAAGTCAGGTATTGTGATACCTCCAGCATTGTTCTTTTGACTGAGTATTGCCTTGGCTATTCGTGGCCTCTTGTGTTTCCATATAAATTTAACGGTAGATTTTTCAATCTCTTTAATGAATGTCATTGGAATTTTGATGGGAATTGCATTAAACATGTAGATTACTTTTGGGAGTATAGACATTTTTACTATGTTGATTCTACCAATCCATGAGCATGGGAGATCTCTCCACTTTCTATAGTCTTCCTCAATCTCTTTCTTCAGAAGTTATAGTTTTCCTTGTAGAGGTTTTCACATCTTTTGTTAGGTTTACACCTAGGTATTTGATTTTTTTTGAGGCTATTGTAAATGGAATTGTTTTCATACATTCTTTTCAGTTTGTTCATTTTAGTGTATAGAAATGCTAATGATTTTTCTATGTTGATTTTATATCCTGCTACCTTGCTATAGCTATTGATGATGTCTAGAAGCTTCTGAGTAGAGTTTTTTGGGTCTTTAAGGTATAGGATCATGTCATCTGCAAATAGGGATATTTTGACAGTTTCTTTACCTATTTGTATTCCTTTTATTCCTTCTTCTTGCCTAATTGCTCTGGCTAGGAATTCCAGTACTATGTTGAATAGGAGTGGAGATAGTGGGCATCCTTGTCTGGTTCCTGATTTTAGAGGGAATGGTTTCAGTTTTTTCCTTAAGTATAATGCTGGCTGTAGGTTTGTCATATATAGCTTTTATAATGTTGAGGTACTTTCCTTCTATTCCTAGTTTTCTTAGAGCTTTTATCATGAAATGTGTTGGATCTTATCAAAGGCTTTTTCTGCATCTATTGAGATGATCAAGTGGTTTTTGTCTTTGCTTCTGTTAATGTGGTTTATTACGTTTATTGATTTTGTATGTTGAACCACCCCTGCATTCCTGGGATGAAGCCTACTTGGTCGTGGTGAATGATCTTTTTGATGTGTTGTTGAATTCGGTTTGCCATTATTTTATTGAGGATTTTTGCATCAATGTTCATTAAGGAGATTGGCCTATAGTTCTCCTTTTTGGAGGTGTCTTTGCCTGGTTTTGGGATAAGTGTAATACTGGCTTCATAAAATGTGTTTGGCAGTTTTCCTTCCCTTTCTATTTCATGGAACAGTTTAAGGAGGGTTGGTATCAGTTCTTCTTTAAAGGTCTGATAGAATTCAGCAGAGAATCCATCAGGTCCTGGACTTTTCTTTTTGGGGAGACTCTTGATTGCTGCTTCAATTTCATTTTGTGTTATAGATCTATTCAGGTGATTAATTTCCTCTTGGTTCAGTTTTGGATGATCATATGTATCTAGAAATCTGTCCATTTCAAATTTATTTGAATATAGGTTCTCAAAGTAGTCTCTGATGATTTCCTGGACTTCCATGGTGTTTGTTGTTATCTCCCCTTTTGCATTCCTGATTCTACTAATTTGGGTTTTTTCTCTCCTCATTTTAGTCAGGTTTGCCAGGGGTCTCGATCTTGTTTATTTTTTCAAAGAACCAACTTTTTGTTTCATTAATTCTTTGTATGGTTTTTTTGGTTTCTATTTCATTGATTTCAGCTCTTATTTTTATTATTTCTCTCCTTCTATTTGTTTTGGGATTTGCTTGTTCTTGTTTTTCTAGGAGTTTGAGATGTATCATTAGGTCATTGATTTGGGATCTTTCAGTCTTTTTAATATATGCACTCATGGCTATAAACTTTCCTCTCAGGACTGCCTTTGCTGTGTCCCATAGGTTCCGGTAGGTTGTGTTTTCATTTTCATTGACTTCCAGGAACTTTTTAATTTCCTCTTTTATTTCATCAATGACCCATTGTTCATTAAGTAATGAGTTATTAGTTTCCAGCTGTTTGCATGTTTTTTGTCTTTACATTTGTTGTTGAGTTCTACTTTTACTGCATTGTGATCAGATAGTATGCATGGTATAATTTCTATTTTCTTGTATTTGCTGAGGCTTGCTTTGTGCCCTAGGATATGATCTATTTTGGAGAAGGTTCCATGGGCTGCTGAGAAGAATGTATATTGTGTAGAAGTTGGATGATATGTTCTGTAGACATCAAGTAGGTCCATTTGATCTATTGTATATTTTAGATCTTGGATTTCTTTATTGATTTTTTGTTTGGATGACCTATCTATTGATGATATTGGGGTGTTAAAGTCTCCCACATCCACTGTGTTGGCGTTAATATATGCTTTTAGGTCTTTCAGGCTATGTTTGATGAAATTGGATGCGTTGACATTGGGTGCATAGAGGTTGATAATTATTATTTCCTTTTGGTCTGTTTCCCCTTTTATTAGTATGGAATGTCCTTCTTTATCTCATTTGATCAATGTAGGTTTGAAGTCTACTTTGTCAGAGATAAGTATTGCTACTCCTGCCTGTTTTGGGGCCATTGGCTTGGTAAATCTTCTTAGCCTTTCATCCTAAGCTATGCTTATTTCTGTCGGTGAGATGGGTCTCCTGTAAGCCAAATTGTTGGATCTTCCTTTTTAATCCATTTCATCAAAGGTGCTTTTGATGGGGAATTAAGTCCATTAACATTAAGTGTTAGTAGTACTGATAGGTATGTGGTGATTCCTGTCATTTAGTTGTCTTAGTTGTTTGAAGGTTTGATGTGTGTGTACCTAAGTTGAGGTTACTCTCTACTTCTTGCTTTTTCTTTTCCTGTAGTTTGGTGCTGCCTGCCTTTCAT